GTTTCTTCCCTTTGTGTGTCAGTTAAATTCCAGAGGTGGGTAAGGGAACATGTGTGTTATCCCTTAGCTTCTGAAGCATCAGAAAAGCTGGTAAGTAGCACAGAGTAGGGCCTGGCTGTGAGCCCATGTCCACAGACTCCTGGGACAGTGCTCTCCTGATGTGCTGCACAAGGGTACTGATAGGCCTCTTTATTTGGAGAATTAAAAAGTTGTTCTAAAAAAAAAAAAAAAAAGTTGTTCTGCTATTATTTTGTGACTGGTGTATGCATGTTCATTGTAACATGAAATCTAGAGGGAAAGAGGTATGGTCAGTGTTGCATAAATATATATTCCTGAGTTCACCTAGCTTTTAAAATATGGTATTTTCCAGTGCTTGCAAAGCTTATGATATTTTTATCAACAAGGAAGCACTGATGATTTATCCAATTCCATCTGTAGGAACTCATTTACTGTGGCTTGGCTGCTTCACTTTTCAAAATGCCAAGTGCATTTTGAAAAGTGCTGGCCCCTTATGAAACTGGTGTTGGATTTTTTAACTGACAATTCAGATATGGTTTTAAGGAGAACATTATCCAATAGAGCCTCTCCCTCGTCTCTACACTTCAGTTCCACTTAAGATGAAAAACACATTTAATTGTTTCAAAGATGATTACGTTTTTAGTAAATTTATAGTAAATGGGAAAGATTAATAAAGGGCTATTTTTTTCTCAGCTTGTGGTTTCTAATTACATCAGTTACAGCTCAGCCTTCCTCCTAACTAGAGTGCAGGCATGAACTGGAAAAGAATGAGCTAATCCATGATAGATCAGGTGGAATAAAGATCTCCATTCATATCTTTACCTTTTATCCCTTGTTCTGATGCCAAGAATTAATGCTGTTTGAAAGTACAAACTGAACCTGCCAAGCTCCAGCAGCTGGGATAATCCTAATTATTTTAAATGTTAGTGAGAAGGGCAGCAGTTCCTCTGTGGAAAAGTGTTCTATTGTGAAACATTAAATATCTGCTAAGTGGTATTGATTGGGCATGATTTTATTTCCAAACACTATGGTTACGGTGAAGCGGAAGAATTTGTTTAAGAAATTTTAAGCAGCTTTCTATCAGACTTCCTTAAGCCTACAACCTACTAAGCCAAAGAGACCAGCACACTAAGTCTGTCTTCCTTGGCAGCCAGCAGCCAGCTGCAGAGTTGCTAACCACTGGAGAATTCCTCTTGGCATTTTATTTTTAAATGGCTTCTTGGTAGGAGTTTAATAGTATTTAACATATAGAAGAACATGTTTTTTTCTCAAGCATGAATATCTATCGTGTTTTCCCACATCACTAGAAGAGAATTATTCGTTCCAGTCCATTGGCTTCCAACAGATCATTCAAGTTAAAAGTCAGGGGTCTTTGCAATGTCAAAAGATTGAGCAGTTGGAGTGGTTTTGTTTATTTTTTGAAGGTTTCTTTTCTTTTTCTATTTTTTCCTTCTTTGGTAATATGTAATATTTTCCCAAAATTTCCAAAATGTTCAGACAGCATCACCAAATCATCTTAAGTATCACCCCCACATTAGTAAGAATGATTGGTAAGGAGTTTTCACCTTTGTTTTTAAATAATAAAAGAATGGCCCTTTAGCTGCTGTGGACAAATAGGCTACTTGAGAAAAACAGATACTAGACTTGCTTGGTTCAAACAAGGGTCAGCCTATTTGGTTTACCCACCTTTTATTGTAACACACACAAAAAAAGATCAGATGGTTAAGTTTTCCTTTTTACTTTTCCTTTACTTGTCAATCCCCACTCTGCTCTCCAGAAGTCATTTCTTCCATTTCTGTAAATGCCAGGAGGCTAGCAGTGATTATAGGGTAGCATAATCCTTAATTGGTTATTGCCTGTGAATGCTTCCTGCACCCTCCTCCAATGCAACTGCCCCCTTTTTCCTCCCCCCCCCAAAGCACAAGAACAACGTACAAACATCTTCATCCATGCAAACAGTGGTGTGTTGAGCATCTCTGGGCTAATTTTTCTTTCTTTATTTCTTTGGGGTTATTCCCCAGAGTGGAATTACTAGGTCAGAGGGGCTGAACAGTTTTACAGCTCTTATTACATGTCAGTAGATTGCTGTCCAGAAAGATTGAACTACTAGCAGTATTATCTTTCCCCAACATTGCCACCGACACTAGGAATTAGTAGCATTTTTACAAAATAATTAAGACAAACCTTTTGAGTTGAAATTAGCCCCCTATATTATCCATTACTCAACCTTTAAAAAAGCAAAAATAGGATCATTTTGAGTTTTTGAATTTCTGATTGGTATAAAATAATTTACAATCGACAGTTGTTACTCTTGCCCCCAAAATAGTTTAAGTTGCATTAAAATGGGCAGGTTACCTTTAGCACTAAATCTTTGTAGGCATTTGGAACTTTTACGAGGTGCTATACAAAATGAGTTAAAACAGATACTATCCCTAACTTCAGCAGCCTATTCAAAGACAATGCTAAGCCTTGAACAAACATAGAAATAACATGGATTAAAATTCTGAGTGGAGAAACACTTTAAAAAATGCAGGTGCTTTTCAAAACAGGTTAAGTTCTTTATTTACATCTTCTCTGGAGTGCAGTCATGCGTTAAGTATGCTGGGAGCCTTCCTGCTCTATGCAGGTGACACATCTGCATGTGTCTCTGTAGCCCCAAGCCACAGGGCACTTTCCAAGAAAATACCCACAAGGCAAGTGAGAGTAAAACTGAACTATCTCCTATCTCCAGATTCCTTTCTTTTGTAAAAAAAATTCTCATCCCTCCTCATTTCAGTCCCAAATTGGCTAAATGAGGAGGGTGGGGGCATCTTCTCCATCAGATTCTAACTGAAGGCTTAGCAACCCCAGGACCTAGAACATGTTGGAAGAACACTCATTCCTGTGGAGTCTCCAAATCAGTCTGACAAAATTCCCTTAAACTCACACAAGGGTTGGAAGGGTTCAGTGGCCAGTTACCAAAGCATGGTGCCCAAGGGTAGAATGCTGCAGGGACAAGGGCATGCCAGAGAGTCAGGATCCCTATATAAAAATGGGGAGAATAATTCTCTGAGTGCTTCAAGGGTGAAATCCCTCATTAAAGTATGTGGCATGCAGAGAGCAGTCAGTAATGTTCACTTCCTTACCCATGCATGGCCTATATGCAGAGAAGACCCTGTCAGTGGTTGGACTGGGATGGGAGTCAGCAGCTTAACTCACAGACTCTCCACTGGGCTCTCCAGATATGTATAGTAGCAAGATCTCAGAGCAGAGTCTACTACTTTTGGAAAACATATTTGCTGTGTATTTATTTAACAATCAGGTGCATGTACACACAATTCATAAATCACCTTGGATTTGCAGGGGGTTTAAGATCCATATAACAAATCAGATTTTGTGAGAAGCTGTTCTGCACTGCAATAAAGAGTTCAGGTTCCCAGCTTTTGGTTGCTGTACTATGCATTTTTTTGTCATCTGTAAAATACGATTTATGATTATTTCCCCCTTTTTAAAGCACCTTTTGCTTTTTATTTAAGTTACTAAAGACTACACAGATACCCTCAATACAAAAGAGATTGCTTTTCAAGAAATTGCCTAAGTTACTTTTCAAATTTATTATTGTACTAAGTTTTCAGATCACCCCTTTCCTCATTGGATACTGAGGTAACTATACAAAACTATCATCTGTCTGTCACACTGGAGAGAGGGAGCATTTGGGAATAATTTGGTCCAAAGGTCCATTTCTTAAATCGTAGCTCTCTTTTATTTCTGTGTGATTCTACTAGCGGCAGCAAACCTTTTCCAAACCCGTAACAAGCATAAATGGTGTTCTCTTGTAAAAAGGTCTCTTTTCAGCCTGGTAATATACCTTATTAAATTCCAAACATAATAAGTATTGATGGCAAACACATCAGGACCCAGTACAGCTTCTACTATGATTTAGTTCTCTACAAATGACTTCAGCACTCAGCTCCCAATGCATTTTGCTAATTACATCATAGATTTCCCTATTGATGAACACAAGCTGAATTAACACAGGAGCACTAATGTACCCTTTCACCATTATTGTTGTACAAGAAGCCGTGGCAGATGCTGGCAGTTAGTTACACAAACATTAGTATTAACGATTGGCCATTTGGAATTGGTGACAAACTACTGCCCGGCAGAATCCTGAGGCTGAAACCAATCAGGAAGTTAATGAGGAGAGAAATTACCACTGCAGCTTCCCCTTAATTACATTCACACTAGTCAGGAAGGGAGTTCTGGGGGTGGATCTAAACTGGGCTAAGGTTAAGAAGGTCAGAGACCCTTTTGCTTAAATTTTGTATCTACTGTGACTTGTAAGGTTGCAAAATTTTGTTCAACACATTATTACTTTTGCATCCTTCATATTTAATGTCAGTTTCCCACTGGAATTTTTATGTTTATGTGTTTCTCAAAATCCTCTTTTCCTGACTTATACTTTAGTGATATAATTTCATTTTTTCCATTTATAAAAATTTCCCCCCCATTTACTCCCACTTTTTTTTTACTTTTTAAAAAAGTTATATATGCTGATGCAACCCCCATGTTTATTGTCTTTGTAACCAAGAGAAATAATAGGAAAATTGATTTGTTATCCTCACTAGATCTTGCCTGTCCAACAGTGGAAAAACATGGGTGGAGCCTTACTTAGAAATACTTTCTCAGATGGATCACTTGATTGACAAGTTCATTAGCATAAAGGAGAGGGACTCAGTGAGGGATGGAAATAGTTTCCCAAAGATAGTAGAGCGGACTTTTAAAAAAAATGTAAAATTGGGATTCTGCTACCTAACCTCCGCTTTTTTTTTCCCCATCCTAAAGCACTGGAAATTTTAATGAGGGTCTGTAAAAACACTTGCAACTCAGAACAGCAATGGAGAGTGCCTCTTTCTTTGTTGAAACCTAATTGAATACTGAATGTAGAAAGACTAGCCACTTTTAACATACTCTTTTCTCCTTTCTCTCTCCCCACTTCCCAG